TACAAAGTAGCCGCAGGAAAGGATGAGACTCGCCCGTGAGAAAAAAAGAACACAACGATTGTGTCTCTTTCGGCTCCTTTCTGGGGAGGGGGGAGGGGCAAAACAATAAACAGGCTGGGTTTAGAGAGTGGATCAGGAGGGATCCAGTCCGACTGGAGTCCCAGACACAACAACGTGTACAATGCAAAGTCCCTTTATTGCAGAAGTCTCCAAACTTGGCCACTTTAAGACTTCCAGACTTCTCCAGCCAGCTTTGCAGATATTCTGGATCTGTTTTGCTGGGAGGGAGGGGATTTTAGTTGTTTTAAGGCCGGCATCCTCAAACTAGGCAACTGTGATGACCCAAAGGGGCGTGGCGCAAAAACAACAAAGTCACAAAAATGGCTAAAGTCCCTTTTAATTCCTCCAACTTGGCCCCCAATGTCCAGTTATCATCGGCTGGAGAAAAAAAAAATCTCTCCCAAGAACCGTTTTCAAAGGGAAGAAATTCCTTCCGAACTCAACGTACATCTAAATTACAAATAAAAACTAACACCAACCGCACTACAGCAATTTACGAGACAGGGCAGGATAAGGGGTTGAAGACGTTCAGAACTCAGATAAGACTTGACAAACCCAGAATAATTTCATGCTTTGCTTCCAGTAACTTTGCCGTGCGCAGTTTGTCCTTTTAAACAATCTTCCCAGCTGCAGCCAACGAAGGGGATCAGGGCCCTTTCCTCCCCCGTAAACCATGCAACTCACGTTGCTCCCTTCTCTGTTCCTCCCTGTGCGCCCTAGGATGAAGAGGGGATGGCCCTGGACTGTGCCCTTCCCCAATTTCCTCCACAGCCACCGGAGCCACACTCCCACTCCCTGTCAGCTGTTCCACGTCTGCCTTGGAATCCAACTCCAACAGGGGCGTGGCAGCAACTTTAAGACTCATGGATTTTAATTCCCAGAATGCTGGCTGGAGAATTCTGGGAGTTGAAGTCCACAAGTCTTAAAGTTGCCAAGTTTGGAGACCTCTGCTTTATTCAATCCGTTGGTTCTTTCCGAGTTAGCTGAAGTTAAACTTTTTCAAGAGTGAAGCATTCGGATCTCTGGTGCCCTTTTGCAAAAAAAATTACAAACTCCTTCCCACAGTTGAAAAAAAGAGCCATCTTCTTCGTGAACCAGTTGTGTCTTTGGATGGAGGAAAAGGCAAATATTAGTGGAGGAAATATTCAAGACCGTTCACGCCGAGAAAATCCTGGATTTTAAGGTTTGGAATCTCGAGTTTCAGGGAGGAGGAAGTTTCTGGTTAAGGACAGCCTTGACAATAAAGAAGCCATCCTAATTTTTTTTAAAAACACCAGGTGGTACTTCTGCCTGCCAGCTTATTTTGTTTATTTGCAGGTTGTGATGTCCCAGGGTGGGATACAAAACAAATACAGTTACAAAAACCCTGTGAAGCCCCTTTTATTCCTTCACTTTGCTTCCAAGCTCCGAACATCCTTGATGGAAGACAAAAAAACTCCCACACAAACAGTTATAAGAAGAAGGAACACAAACCAGGCAAGATAAGGGCTGGAGGACGTCCACAGATATCAGAACACACACTGGGAAGGATGCCAAACTCAGAGAGGAACCATAAACCAGAGATATTTCCATGCTTTGTTTCCAGCACTGGCCCATACGCATGTCCGTCCTCTATCCAGTTGTCACAGCTGCAGCCCATGAAGAGGATCAAGGCCCTCTCCTCCCCAGTAGACCACGTCTCTCCCTGATCCTCTCCTCCCTGCGTGCCCTAGGATGGAGAGGGGACGGGCCTGGGTCCTCCTCTGACTGCCCAGCCGGCCTCTGCCCTTCCCCAGCCTCCTCCCCAACCTCCGGAGCCACACTTCCACTCCCTGTCGGCTGTTCCTCCTCTCCCTCATGTCTCCACCAGGGGCATGACAGGTTGTCCTTGATTTACGACCGTAATGTGGCTCGTGAGTCGTTAAGCAGGTCACATGATCAATTTTGTGACCTCTTTTGCGGCAGTTGTTAAACACACTGGTGGTTAAATGAACAAGGAGGTCATTCAATGAATCTGTTTTATCCAATTTGTTTACAACGGCCCTGACTTGGCAGTTTTTCAACTTTTGTGACGATTCTGTGCAGCAGTTTTGCTCCTGGGATCGAAATCCAGACGTTTGGGCAACTGACTTGTGTTTTATGATGGTCCCAGCATTCCGGGGGTCCTGTGATCCCCCTTTTGTGACCTGACAATGGGAAGCCAGGTTCACTTAACGACCGTGTGGCTAACTTAACACCTGCAGGGATTCACTTCGCAACCGTAGCAAAGAAGGTTGTAAAACGGGGCAGAAAGGAGAGAGAATTGGAAGGGGAAGAAGAAAGGAGGGAAGGAAGGAAGCAGAATTGGATAAGGGGAGGGAGAAAGGGTGGGCGACTGGGAGATTGGAGGGAGGGAGAGAAAAAGGGAAGGAAGACAAGGAAAAGAAAAAAAGGAAGGAAGGAAGAATTGGAGAAGGGGAGAGGGAGCGAAAGAAGGAAGGAGAGAATTGGAAGGGAGGAAGGAAGGAGAATTGGATAAGGGGAGGGAGAGAAGGAAGAATTGGAAGGGGGAGGGAGGAGGGATGGGAAATTGGGGAGGGAGAAAGAAAAACAAGGAAGGAAAAGAAAAAAGGAAGGAAGGAGAATTGGAGAAGGAAGGAAGG